AGCCCCTCGTTTGTTGTCCTCTTCTCCCTCTCTGCCTACGGTTTACCGGGCAGTTCTATTTGACGATATATATATCGTCATATATATATATATATCTGTGACGATATATATATATATATTTTTTTATTATAATATTATATATATTATGTGACAATATACAGTTTGTCACAGTCCCTCGTTTGTTGTCTTCTTCTCTCTCTCTGCCTACGGTTTACCGGGCAGTTCTGTTTGTGATGATATATATATATATAAGTTACGGAATAACAGCAAGATTATGGTGATAGAATATGTTGAGAGTGTGAAGGGATTCTTCCGGTTGGAAAACAGAGGAGAAGAAAAGTGCAGAGAAGGGATAACCTGCGAAGGTGAAAGAAGAGCCAGGAGGAGGAGAGGAACCCCCGAGGAAAGATGGCGGTGCAGGGAGCAGGAAAAGAAACTGCCGCCGGCAGAAGAGAGAGAGATGATGGAGGAAGAGGATTGCTCTGATTTGGGCTTCTGATTCATAGGGTAGCACATTGGTCCGGGTAATGGACGCGTTCAGATTGGCTTCCGAAAGGAAAATCAACTGGCCTAAGACAGTAGGATGGTGGCTGTCAGATGAAGCAACGGCACGACTACAGTTGTGTCCGGAAAAGCCAGATGGCATCGGAGAGACCAGAAGTCTCAGCAAAAGAACACCTGGGTATCCAGGTTACGAAGGATGGCCCTTCCCCACGCGTACGGCTCAGAACCTGCTTCACTTGTAAATCACGTCAACAGAATGCGCAAGGGGGGGAGGGGGGAAATGTTCACCTCCCTACTGGGTAAATCCCTAATCATCAATACTTCGATCTTCTCCATGATGCGGTATATAGCGTCTATATGGACGAAACCAGATTGCACCCTTGACGAAGTCAGTCAACAAGAAGGCCTGGGCGTACTACTTGTGGACTGGGGACCCAAACAAACAGATCAGAAGTATATACTGTAATGACCCGCCAAAGCATAGACTGAGAACACTGCTGATTTCTGGGATTTGCCACTGGAATGAATGCCTTGCCGTGATTCCCGCATTCTGCTGTGTTTTCCAAGTCTGTGTGTG